CAAAATCACTCCCAAGTCAGACAATTAATCTGTTCGAACCTTAACAAAAGGCAAGAAATCCAAGAACAAACCTCAAATATATACAGAATGTGTCAATTTAATTGCCTGCCCAACTGATTTATGGCCACATTAATAATGAAGAGACAAACACAAGCCAAACAGAACATTGAATGAACATTAGACATTGGAAATTCCAAGACAAAAACAGAAATACCAGGGAAGGCGCTAAAGTGTGAAAAACTCATTAAGATACAAATTTGTTTATAGGTTTCCACACAGCATTTTATTTTCGGGGAGATGGGGAGCCGCCGTGGAAATCCGAGGCCCACGCATCATCATCATCTGGCAGGAAAATGAGTAAGAAAAAAGGGGAGAAATCCACACGGAAAAGGCAATCAGGCCTGGCGACTGTGCTGTGTGTAATGGAAACGCAAAAGTCACATTCATCAGTCAAAATAATAACCAGACAGCAACAGAAACTGGAGATTTCAGAGACTTGAGGTCTTGCCAGTTTTACTGTTGTTGGCCTGTCAGTGGTTTAAAGCCAAAGTCATTTGTCCAGACTCCAGGCCCCCCTCACTCTCCCTGCTGAACGATTGTTTTATGTTGTATTTGTTGTGTACTCGCATTGTAGCTGCATTCAATTTACTAAAGACAATTGATTTTGTTGTTTTTGTTGTTGTTGAAAACGATTATCAATATGTTTGGAGCTCTCCCTGACAGCCTGGGTCATGAATGCGCGAAAAACTAACAATAAAGCAAAGGAAAAAACATGTGAGTTGGCATATAGCACAGTGTTTCGATCATAAAATACCCGGTTTTTTTTTCCAGAAAAATGTGCACATTTTTTTCGATGATTTTTTGTTTTCCTTACTGTTTGGTAGAGAGCATTTTATGCAAAGGTGCCAAAGTAGCTATTTTATCATAGTGTTTTTCTGAGCTTTTTAATAATAAAGGTTTTTTATGTTAAGCCAGAATTTGATTGAATTAAATAAACTAATTTAGTCAACTAATAAATTCACTTTTTATTTTATTTAACGTACGATTTAAAGAAAATCTATCTGAAGACAATATTTGTCCTTAAAATTATAGGAATATTTATCTAGATTTTTATATAACAATATCCGATAACCCAAAGCTTAAAAAACTCATAACTAAGCCAAAAAAGCATTAATTTTGATTCGGAAAGCTGTTCTGTGCCAGTTTTTTAAAATATAATATAATTTTTAAAATATTTAAATTTTTATCAATTTTTCAAGATGTCAAAAGTTCAAATTGTCAACTAAAAATTTGGAAAAAAATTTCAAAATTTTATTTTCTTTCCTTTATGCCTAGATAGATTCGCCTGTTGATGCTGATCAAGAATATATATGGTTTATAGGGTCGAAAATGACTCCTTTAGTGAATTGTAAGCTTCTAACTGAAATTTTAATACATTGCAGGGGTATAAATATTCGCATTCTTTTTATATGACGATTTTTCTATAGTCCGTATCTTAAAAAACTCATAACTTAGCCAAAAAAGCATTAATTTCGATTCGGAGAGCTGTTCTGTGCTAGTTTTTAATAGGTTAAAAAATCTGCTTACCTAAATTACATTTTTTAAATGTTTAAATTTTTGTCAATTTTTCAACATGTCAACAAGGTCAAAAAGTCACTTAAAAAGTTTGAAAAAATTTCCAAAATTTTATTTTTTTTCTTTATGCCTAGAAAGATTCGCCTGTTGATGCTGATCAAGAATATATATGGATTATGGGGTCGGAAATGACTCCTTCACTGCCTTTTAAGCTTTTGACTGAAAGTATAATACCCTGAAAGGGCGATATTTTTTATACATCTATATGAAGATTTTTTTTTTTTTTACAAAGTACATCTGAAAAATCTCATAACTAAGCCAAAAAAGCAATAGTTTTGCTTCGAAAAGCTGTTCTGTGCTAGTTTTTATTAGTTTTACAAGTGTTCTTAAAACTTAGTTCAGTTAAGGAACATTAAATATTAAAACTTCGAAGAATGGCATCTCAGGTGCCATGCCTAGTTTCTGCACCCATAATATACCCTTGATTCCTATAGTTAAAGGATAAATAAAATAAAAACAAAAATTCAAAATACAACAATGGAAAGGGAAAGACAAAGCAGCAGCAAACATTCACTGACTGATAAATGGCCAGCACAAAAGACGGGCACCAGAGCCAGTCAGGCAGCCAGCAGCGGGTGGTGAAGGCCGGAGGGTGGTTCTGGGGCGGAGGTGGCACCTCGGGGGTGCCCTTCATTGTGCTGCTGATGTTGCCACACTGCTGATGCTGCTCCTTCTGTGCTGTGTGCAGCACACGCCTCAATGCAATTTAGGGAAAATATGCTGCTGGGGGAGCCTCGCATCGCAGACTCCACCTCCGCGGAATGTAAACAAAATGTATCGTAAAATAAATAGTTTTTAAAAATGTTTTTCAAGAACGCGAGGGCGAGAGAATAAATGCATTGGAAAAAGTGTGAAAACTTTGGAACCCTTCCCAAATGCACAATGAATTCAAAGTAAACATAAAACACTTTTGAAGAACTCACACAGCTAATTCGGATAAACTGTGGGAAACATGACATGGCACAACTCGTAAGCAGGAAACAAATTCTCAGCATGAATCAAAAGCATAAGTAGCTCTAGGAAGTTGCACAAAGAAAAATATTGAGATCTAGGGAATATATTTAACTTTGCATGGTAAAAGGAACTGTTGATACTTTAGCTCATGTTGTGGATTTTAAAACCATAACTCCTGCCTGAGAATTACCCATTATCTCTATATTCTCTCAACTCCAGATCTTACTTACCTCTTAGTAGAGTTAGGATTGTATCCAAAAAGTAAAACCTTGTGCCTCTCTGAGTAAAGCAAATCACCAACAAACAACAATTGAATGTAAAAACTTTAGAAAAAACGCTGAGAAGAAGAAATCCCAAAAAAAGGGAAAGATTCTCGGATAGACTTGGGGGCAGGACAACTTTTGGTTTGTCTCGCTTGGTTTATCGGGCAATTGAAGAGGAAATTAAACAAGTTTGCCTAACGAAGAAGCATCTCAAAGTTTTTCTCGCAGCGCGCACCTCGCCTTAAAGTAAAAGCGAAGGAAACCCGAAAGCCGGCGCGCGCTTTTCCCGGGCATCAGTAAACTTTTTCTTTTATTTTCAGGCTCCTGGCCTGAGTTTTCCTGCAGTAGCATGGGGGCATGGGGCGTAGCAGCATTGTCACTGCTGCTGTGCTGCTGCTGGATGCTACTCTTCTAAACTTTTTGAATCAATTTAAGTTTTGACATTTTAATGATAAATTTGTAACATGCAGAGGAAAACAAGGGCAAGGAATGCCAGCGATGTTGTATGTATGGCGGAACCCTCGCATTTTCCAAGGAATCCAGTTTATAAATTGCTCCAAGTGCTTCCTGAACAGAAGAAAAGAGGGCAAGCGGTTTGCTTATGAACTAAAATGGAGTTCGAAGTTGAGGGAGAAAGGGATAAATTGAAAAAACTATGCTCAAGTGAAAGGAATTGACTTTCCCCTTTTTCAGCGAAACCTCTTTCACACGCCGAGATTTTCTTCTAAATAGTTTGTGGGTTTATTGAATTTTTCATGAGGTTAAAAATGATCAATCGCTTACGTTGAGGTATGAGGTATATTAAGGATAATAAGAGAGGTTTAATCAAAAGATATATTATCTTTGTAAATAAGCTTTAATAAGAAATTAAAAAGGATGAAGAACTGGAGGCTTGTTTATCTTTAATTTCTTCAAAACTGACTTTTTAACACAATATTTTTCTTCTCATAAATTCAATAAAGTCGGGTAGCTCAAGGACATGTTCAATTCCATAGTTTTCCTGCACATCCCTTAAAGCTACTTCTTAATTCTACTTGAATCCACACCCTCTGCATCCCAAGTAAATACGTTTTTATCGGGGAACACATGTTCGAGTGTGTTTATCGGGGACATAACATCATAACAAACATCGTTGGCCATCTAAAACTCATTATTGACTCATTTCGGCAGTGATGGTGTTGGTGGTGGCCCATAAAGCGCCCCGAAGTATGTTGTCTTTATTATTTTGCTTTTTTTTCGGTTGACAGCCGGCAAGCATTTCCAATTAAACCGAACATTGGAACACACTGTACCCCAAAATCATTCCTGGGAGTGTCCCTATGTATACATATATGTATGTATGTATGGCCATTAAGACCTTTGTAAACTGCGGCAGGCATATGCACTTAATGGCTAAAATACACACACTCACAGACCTCGAGATACATTCGTTCGTATCTGTATCTATGTTATTTGGGGGGATTGCCGTTTGCGGCTTTGGCAATTTGTAGCTTTATTTGCGGCTTCCTTAGCACTTTGTTTACATTCCATTTGAGGAGTCCGCGTAAACAAGTTGACAAGTTTTCGGTAGTAAGTATTGTTACCCGCCCCCAGCAGATATTCTTGTAACCCGACGCTACTATTTTCCAAATAAATTTTGGGGGCGCCACACCAAAATGTCATCATCAATTAGTTCGATAGATAGCGATTATCATCGATAAAATGTGACACACATAATTGAAAAGGGTTGAGAGGTGATGGTAAAGCAAATTGAAAATTGAAATTTGAGAGGAAAAAGGGGAATTTTGATAATAATTATTAATGATTAAGCATTCAGAACTCTATTTGCTGTTTAATTTATTTTAATTTAAGCACATTTGTTGGGTCAGCAAACTATTTATAAATATATTTTACTGATTACAATTACATGTATCTTAATCAAAGTCCATTGATTTACCTTTGTTTACTTAATCTAATTCCTAGAAAAACTAATTGTCAAGCTGATTAGATTAAAAAGCTTAGAAGTATACAAACACAATTTCCCCTTAGCAATACAGATTTTTTTTTACCAAACAATACCTCTTTAGAATCTGAAGAAAACCCACTGTTTACCATTCACCGAAGACAAACTACTTACTTACAATGTTTTCTATTTTGTTTGGATTGCAGATAAGAGGACGACCCACTGGGACGAAGGCGGTCAATGTCTGATTGCGAGTGGACAGTCGGAAACTGGGTCTCTCTGCTCCCCCCACCCATAATATATGACTGATAATGGCCGGTTTGGAGCTGGAAGCACAACAGCAGCAACGACAATGGCCAAACAAAATGAATACTTGAAAATTTGGAAACATATCAAATGGCGAAATGAAAAGTAAACAAAGCAAACGAATTGAATCGGAATATTATTATGAAAACGAGATTTATGCGAAAACGAAACAGAGAAGCAAGAAGCACACAAAGAATACCCAGAATTTATATATTTATAGAACTTATTGGGCAATCGCAACGTAAACATTGATGAAGCGAAATCAAGTGCCATAGTGAAAAAAAGCGCGAGTGTTTTTATTTTATTTTCGTTTTTTAAGTTCTACTTAGTCAATACTGAAATCACACGACATATCGCCGGGGGAATTACTATATATATACATACATGAAAATAGGGCAGATATATAACCACCGCAACAATATGACAATATCAGCAAGCATCCAACATAATAACAATGCAAATCGCAAATATGAAAAACTCATTAAGCAGCCGCAATTGCAGTTTGGAACGTCCGTGACCGGAACCCAAACGGATGCGAATGCCCATGCGGAGCCTTCGGCGGATGCTGCGGCATTCAGCAGCGATGGCAGTGCGAATTCGGGCAAGGACTTTACCCATTTCAATAAGCATTTTGACAATGGTCATGCCATCACAGATCGCACAATGCTGCTGCCTCCGGAGGACGATGTCGCCGCCACCAACGGCATTGTCACGTACAAGGGGAAATCGAATGGGAAGGGAACGAGCGGCCATGGGAATGGCAATGGAAGTATCAGCCTGGAGTTCACGGGCAGTCCTCCAAGCACCTCGTCATCATCGTCAACGGCAATTGGCATGACCGGCAGCAGCAGCAGCAGTAGCAGTTGCCACCTGACAGGTGGTAGTAGTGGAGGATCCTCCTGCTCCGGCTCCAGCCATTGTTGTAATTTAATTGCTCGTCGCTGCTTCGGCATCAACGTGCGGCGATGTGTCTTTGCCCTGCTGGCCATTACGATGGCTAGCATTTTCTACTATACGCATTACGTCGACACGGGCATGTTTAATGGGTGAGTACTCGTAGTTTCAGTTGAAATTAAAATGAATCAGTGAACCAGTCCCCTGGTTGGTCAATTTCCCTTGATTGTGAGCGGAAATTGGTTGAAAATTAGAGGTTTTTGATGAGGTTTTACGGTGGAAATGTTTCTAAAATGTACCAAGGTTCTACAATGTGTAATTTTTGTAGCATACTTTTGAAGCGCAATATTTAAAATCTAATAAATCTCGGAGTATGATTTTCTGTTTCTCAATCATTGAGATTTCAAATCAAAATTCAATTAATTTGCTTAGTTTTTATTTCTCAAACTATCGATCATCTTCTCCTCTTCAATCAATTTCATATTTTTTAAAATTTAAGCGAATTTTTATTGTGCTCAAGTGGCGTCTCTGGTGAAAATGCACTTTATGTCTGCTCTCTGCTCCTCACAATTTTTCGTTGGCCATGAATGTGGTGAGCTTTTGTTGTGTGCCATGTTTGATTGGATTTTTCCCCGTTCGGTCCATTTTCAAGTGGTTTACGAGAACACGGGCAGAGGGATTGCTTTCAATATGCTGGAAATTAAATTAAAACAGGTGTGTGGCATGCCAAAAAAATGGGACGTAAAGGATGGGAAAATAAATTGGAAAATATTTGTGTGTGTGGGGGGGGAGAGGAGAGGGAAAAAGCCTTTTCCCTTTTTTCTAGTAAGCGGAAAGTCATGTAACGCGGTACCGATTTAAGAGCGTTTTCAATCACAGTTTTTTTTTTTTATCCGGCGGGAAGTACCACTAAAATTTTAATGCCTTCTATGCGCTTCTCAAAGTTTTCGAGCCATTCATTTTTTTTAGTGCCCCTATCCGTGGCAAGTTTCACCTGCCAACAACGACCGGTGCTATAGCCACCATTCGCCAAATCATCAAGCGATTTCTCTATGGCCTTTTTTTTGCACCAACGACAAAAAAGTTTCATTCTTACCCATTCCCAATGCCCTTCGACAAGTTCCACTTTTGCTTGAGTTCAGTTCAACACCTTTTTGGTTGGCTTCATGCTCCTGCTCCTGCTCCTGCTCCTGCCTCTGCTCTCAAGCTCACAGAAAACCCTAGCACCTGGGGTTTTTCTTTTTCGGCTTCTACCACCCCGGCTTCTATGACATACTCGAGAATAAAACTCATTTGGTGCCTGGCATTTCGACGGTTATGAGCATAGGGTTGGGTTCATGCACAGCACAAGAGGTCCTCGAACAGGAGGGGGAAAATGTGAAAAGCCCGGGAAAATATTGCTCATAATTGTGCGCGGCGTAACTAAAGAAGCATTCGCTGGCTGTTCACACTACTATTTTCATTAGGTTATTTTTTGGTGATTATTGTACGCGAGAGCTCAAAATTTTCACTATTGCACAAAAAGAAAAAAACTGAATTTAATTATGTTCTAGATTAATTGAAATGTATTTCCCCAAATTCCATAAATATTTAATAATTTAAAGCTTGGATAAAAATATTATTGAAATTAGGAGATTAAGAAAAAATGTATGAAGAACTTCCCCCGTGTAGATCCTTTATAATTTTGCTTAATTTATGCCTTTAAAAGAAGAATATAACTATTGTAAGGAAATTGTGCTTTTAAAAAACAAAGCCTTTAGGATGTTCCTCAATTTTATTTATTCCCAGTTTTTTGTTCAACTTAAATGTGCAACTTGTAGGTAAATAATTCTTGCTTAATTATTTTCTCTGTACGTATTTTTCGTTGGTTTTTTGTTTTTCTTTGTTTTTTCATTGAGGGTGTATATTAAATTTTTCCCATGAAATTTTTAGCTGGCAGCAAGAGAAACAGTTATTTGGTTCACCTGGCTGTTAGCTACTTTTGCGCGCAATTATGGTTTACAAACAGTTCTACCGAAACCATTTTTCGACCCCGTCCCGTCCCCTTTCCCCTTTCCCCGCTTTCTTCATCTGCAGTAGTTGCACAAACAGGCAGCGAAGTTTTTGATTACTTTCATCAACGGTTGCCGGCGAAGATTGCTCCAGGAGTTGGCTACCTGGGAAAGGTGCGTTTTTCCTTGCTTTCCTTTTTTGTTGTAGGTACTTTTCTACTGACTCCCCAACACGCTAGCATAACGCAAATAGGAACAAAACAAGCAGCTAAACAAGGATCCTGGAAATTCTTATCCTGACCAAAGCGCAAATGTTATTTACATTTTCCAAATGCCAGTTGATTATTAAATATTTACCCTAAGACCAGGGCACTCGAAAATTTAATTTACGGGCCCAAGACTGTGGCAAAGTTCATTAGTTGGCTAAGTGGGTTACCATCAATCAGGAGGAAAAAGGACTGGGCCATATTGTTGTAATTGCATGAGGCATAAGGCCATATGTGTGTGTGTGTGTGTGTTGGAGCTTTGTGTGCGTATGCTAAATTTTAATGAATTCAGATGGCCTGACTCCATGATTGTTGCATGCGGATGGCCAGAGTTCAAGTATATGTGCGTGAGTTGCAGGGCAAGGGCACTGAAAGAAAAGTTAGAGGTAACAATACCAGGAAGTCTTTGTAGATTAGTATAATTGAAGATCATCCATGCCTTTAACTTGGATAATTCTTTTCAAATAGTTATTGTGACTGTCCTTTGGGAATATTAAATAAAAAACTTCAGTCATTTCCTTTATCAGTTAGGAGTTTTGTATCCCATAAACTTTTAATTTCTTTACCTGTATTTCGTACTTCTTATGAGCGACCGTCCTTAACGTGCAAAATGCGGAAACAAGTGACGTGCCAAGTTTAAAGCCTTAGCCGAGTGTGTGTGTGTGTGTGGGCGTGTCCTGCATCCTGGCTTCCGTATCCTCTTCCGCCTTTGCTTCATCCCTGTGGTTGCCCCTGTGGCCATAGACGCCATCCAGGATCCGATGTGCGTGTTTGTTTATGCTGTCTGTCATTATTTGCACTCGCACACACACCCTGTGTACTGTGCATTTATGCATTTGTTTTTGCTGCTGCTGTTGTAGGTGCAAAACGCATTTTGACAAAATGCAAACGTACGTGATTTGCATGAAACAGAACTGAGTGACTGACAGACAGGAGGAATGGGGATGGGTTTCGGGGGTAACCAACACTCTCACCTCCTGACACGACGACAATAATTGATTTGTAATGCAAAACCTGACAAAATTCCCTGTAAAAATAAACCAATTTACATGCATTTTTCATACAACTTGTAATTCCTAATTCCGCATTTTAATTGAGTGTCTGTTGCAAATAGGTTTTAATTCTAAATACACAATATAAATATACACACAATTGGATTACAGAGGAGTTTTAGGTGCAAAATGTTTGTAAATATTTTAAATTGTAAGCATTAAAAAAGGAATAGAGAAAGAAACATTCTATTAACGATGTAAGATTGATTGATTTACTATTTTATTCTTTTATTACTTAGCTTAAAAACCTTTTAAAAATATTCAAACTGTCATCTGTTTATTGATTCTTATTTATAAATATTACTTTATTCTCTTCCCTTTATTTATAATTTATTCACTGTGTGAATGACAATTTCCCAGATTTTATTTACCTAAAAAACCTTTATAAAAAGTTATAAATCTGACAGGAGTTTTTGTGTTTATTTTATCGCCATTAAAATTTCAATTTAGATGCAAAAAATGCTACCAATTTATTCGCTAATTTGCCTGACAAGCCGCTTATTCAGCTGTTATCCTGCGATTGGGATTGCGACTATCCTTGCGACTATCGACTATCCTGTCGCCTGCCACGACGTGCAATCACAACGCCTGTCACCAAATAAACGCGTATATATACAGACTTTATATACATATAAGTGTATATATATATACAGGACACACTCCATGGCATGCTATGTTTAGTTTGGAAACATTATTTGCTTTGCGTGTTAAGTGCGATAAATGCAATTCGATGTTAGATGTGTGAGTTGGCTTTTTTTCCCCAGAAGGACGCCGAGGGGGTATAACTAAAATTGTTATAAATGCACTAAATACGGCACAAATGCCCCGTCGATAATCAACACATAAATTACTGCCGTCGGTCGAGTAATTTAAGCGTAAACAAGTGCGTGCCAGTGTGTGTGGCGTTGTTTGCGTTGCACATGACGTATACGTGATGTGATTCACATTTGCGTGCATTAATTGACTAAATATTTTAATTGAAAATGCGATTATGGAACGACAAATGGCCGCGGGTTGGATTCGATTCAGCGATGCTGTGTTGTTAAAATACGATTACATATGCGTATTTGCACAAATCCATGTGGCGGCTGGAAAAGAAGGAAAAGCGCGCAAGAGCAACGATTTCCCATTTAAGGAATCCTCGGACACGGACCAATTCTTGTCTGGGTGTCCTGCGAAATGCAATAAATAATTACTTTTATTTGCTTTAAATGCAATTACAAACAAACATGCAAACAGACAAACGGACGCCTTTTGCATATACCCCTGTCGCCGCTGTCTGGCAATTTCCCGACGGTTTTCCCCCGCACACCAGTTCACAGTTCATTTGGCCCGAGTGTCCTGGCGCAGAGTCCTTTTTCCGGCCTCTGTTCTTCGAATGGTTCATGACATTTTCCCACTCATTTCCCGGCCTGCAATTCAATTGAACTTGCCTTGCTTGATTTATTTAATTAACTTTTTTTCTTCGCATTTTCCCGTTTCGTTTCGACCACAATCGGTGAGTCCTCGTTGAGTCGTCGATATTCCGATGTCGGGTCTTTATTTCAAGTACATATTTTCATTGGGTTCCACCATTTCCCGGTTTCCTCATTGCTCTTAAGTGGCCGCTAGCCAGTCGGGAAGGGGAATCTCCTTAATGCTCGAGAGTTCGAAAATATGCGATTGCAACAAAGGCGGAATGCCCCGGGGCACACAATGGATGTGTAAAATAATTCAATTTGCCATTGCCGATTTATTGCAATGTAAGCGTTTCCACTGCAAGCAATAATATTCTTTGAATTGCAATTAATTTTGGAGGTGTTGAAAGTGAGGTAATTACATAGAATGCTGCAGGAAATGAAAG